ATGCCAATAGAATACACATTTTTAACATTAAAATGTTTTCGTGTCATATGCACTTTAAAAATTATCTCATGACCAATTAACCAGACTCCTCATCAAATTATGATTCTTTCAATTTTTCTCACAAAAGTCTTGATTTTTTGTTAGGTACCTTGTGGTGGTCCCCAGAKAATGCAGTCCTTCCCAGCTCTAGAGCCCCGTGACTTCACAGTCCAGGGTATTGGATGGAAGGAGAGTGCCGCTGATATCGTCTTGTCAAACATTGGTTGGGTGTCAGTTACTGCAGGCTATCACGCTGATGTGCAGGTCAGGGCATACACACCTAATGCCAGGGGACTGGTAAGGAGACAACCGGCTCTTCTATCCACTTGTATTAATCAGAGAGGTATGTGACATTCTCCACAAACCTAGACCACTTTGCAAGAAAATCTTGCTTTTCAGGCTCTTTTTGGGGGCCCTGTGTCATGTAAATCTAAGTACACAGGGATCCCATGCCAGTAACCCTGATTACATCGAAAAAGTCAAAATTTCTTGCTGCAAGCACCCCTTACCCTGATTACGTGAAGAAAGTCAGAATTGCTTGGTACTGATCTATGTTCAATCCAAAATAACTTTTTTCAGGTAAAAGAGGCGTGTCGTACCTCGGTCATCAAAATTCGGCTGGATACGAGTCTCACCGTAAAAAAAGCCCTCAGCTGATAAAGTTTCTGAGTTACGGACACCACGGGGTCTATCAATGGGTGCGAGAAGTAAAGAGGAAGAAGAAAGAACAAACAGCTTTGATCAAAGAAGCGAGGATGAAGAAAATTATGGACAAGAGTCTCGCTGCTGGAGAACCTGAATCATTACTGGTTGGTCGAGAAGAACAAAGCCCAAGGAAAAAACTTACATCATAAAAACCTCGAATTTGTAAAAAATACCTGTAACATGTGACATAAGTAAACTCAAACCGTYGTTTTTATGCTAACTCCTAGATGTTGTCTGTCAGAATCCAGATCCGGTCCCAGATTCTCACAGGACCGAAACTAATGACCGCTGCAGTGCAATAACTTTGCAATAACTTTGTGGTTCCACTTGAGTTCGTATCGTATGCGTATATCATTCCATGTTCGATAAGAGTACACTGAGACCATAGAAAAGGGACCTGGATTTGCTAAATAATCATCATCATAATAATAATCATGAAAATACACGAAGTGCACAGAAGCATACTTTTTCGTCCCCATACATTTACTATATGCTATCACTGCTGCCTGTGCATATCTATCTTTTCACCTCATATCTCACTTTACCGATTTTTACCGATGGCCTCTTAGGATGGACCATTAGATAATTGGGGGGGGGTCAAAGCATGTGTTTGCTCATTATAATACGTCTTTACTGGTTGCGCGATRTTAATTTCGTAGGTAAAGTGTTGTTTGATACTATTTTGGGGATTTACACAGCCCCCATCTTAATTGTAAGTAATAGTCTGTCCCTAATAAAGCAGATCATTAGTTAACCGAGTGAAAGCGAAGAAATAATAATGTAGTACAATAACAGGATTACCAGTCTGATTTCGGCAACAAAAGTTGGTTTTCCTAGGACGGTCTCATTATAACCCTCAAAAAGTGGTTTTAAACATAAAAATATTAATTAGCAAGAGTTTTATTCTGAAAATTTTCGTGGTGAAAAAAGTTGAAMAAATTTTTGTCGCTACCAGAATCCGCCCACTCCAGCAGTCCATTATTCCAGATTAATGTTCCCATTGACACAACAGATTGAAGGTAATATCAATAATGAGCAGTTGTTAATCCATCAAAACCAATTATTAGTTGAATTTCTTTATTAAAAACAATCGAGTATTCTATTGTGCGAGTTTGCAATATTATCTATAAATGTCTAGTGTTTATGATAAACATTGAAGTATTGTCTGTGACGGTTTCGCTCGCATACAAGTCGTCCTGATTTCTGATTTACAAGAAAATTTAACCAGCAACTTATCTTGATTATTAAACATTAGCAGTCCTGTATGACATGTTTACACGCCGGAAAAGTTGTGATTCAATAAAACAAACAAAAAAGGATTCAAATCCATGTCAGGTCAGACTCGCCTTGAGCATATGTATTTGGTAGAACGTCTTCGATTACCATAGCAACAGAGCCCTAATAAGTTAAACAAGTCCTTGTACGAGCTTGGGCATATAATTGTTAATCATCCCTAAATGTCTTTCACAAAATCTAATGAGAAGAGAATGGTTTGATGGCTTGATACAAAGTAGTTACACAACGACTTTCACTTTGGGATCGTTGATCGTTGATCGAACATCGTTTTTGATGAAAGATATATTCTCTTCGGTGCGAGAATTTGTAGAGAAACCATCGTGTGGCTTTGCTTAACGAGAGTACATCGAGGATAGAGGGTATTGTCATCACTTGAAAATGTCGAAGGCTCGGTCGTTCTCTTCGCCTAGGCTTTCAGACGAAGCGACCAAAAAAGAGATAAATCGCCAGCACGCGTTGCTATCTGCTGACATGGACAAGAAGCAGTTGCGCGGAAATGTCACGCTTGAAGAATGGCGACATTACAAGCAGGCGACCACCTTGAACCAAAAGGAAAAACGTGAGCATTTTCAAATCAAATCACGAAAAAAAGAACTATTAAATGATCTTCAAAAAGTTCGCTCTAGCTACACTGGACATTTTGATGCTTCCAAGTCTCCAATGGAAAATATTCAATTAGCATTGAGAACCAAGTGTCAAACGCCTCCAAGAAATTCAAGATTGTATGCGCCAGGAGTTCACGGTATTAGACGGTGCAAATCAAGCGAAGTGCTCTCCTCTCCTAGTACACGTGCTTCTTCTAGCTTGAGCTACAGCCCCAATCCTCTGCTCATTTCGTCCAGGGATAAAGTAAAAGAAAGACCAAAAACTGCTGCAGCAGAAGTTGCACCTTTACGAGCTCCAAAGCGACAAGACGACCCCAAACCTACCGCAAGTAAGAAAAAACAGTTTGTAAAAGCACACAAAAAAACTTAATGACCTTATTGAGTTGCTGAATCACTGAGAAAATCTCCTTATTTGTTTTTTGTTTTGTTTCATGTCAATGGTGAGATATAGCTGTTTTTATTAACTTGGAATATTTACCTAGRTCCCCTAGTTTCAATACTCCATTTTACAGTTCCGTTCCAAGCCGAGGCTGGAGTTTCCGCGCATGATAAAAAGTATAGTTTTGCTATGCGCGGAAACTGCAGCCTCGACTTGCAACTATTATTCGTGGTCACTCGAACGGAACTGTAAAATGGGGTATTTAGTGGAGGCAAAAGTTAGTTGAGTCGATAACACGGGTCAAAATCGAATGGTTGAGTATAGCGAATAACACGGGTCAAAATCGAATGGTTGAGTATAGCGAATAACACGCAAGTAAGATTAGGACGTGCCGCCTACATCTGGTGGCCCGCATCTCCTGGCCCCATACGCATCTGGTGGCCCCTTGACCATAACTCGGGAACGAAGCAAGCTATGGTAACGAAACTTGGTAGCATTGGTGAAACTTGTGTTGTCAATCATCTGACCACGTGACATGGCGTGAAGTCACATATCACGTGACTTACGAACCAAACATTTTCGCCAATTTTTGCGAATACTCATTTCAAGGAATGCTATGGTAACGTAACTTGGTACGATGGTTGAGACTTGTGTTATCTGTCATCTCGGAATCAAATTAATCCGGCATAGTGTGGACGGGGCCTTATTTATTACGATATTCGCTTCCACATACCTCTGGTGGCCCCATTGTACCCACCTCTAATGGACCCGCATCTCGTGGCCCCATGCACACGCATCTGGTGGGCCCTTGGCTATAACGCCTTAACGAGACATGCTATGGTAACGAAACTTGGTTGTTCTTTGCTGACGATCGTAGATGCCTTTTGGGAGTGTACGGTGTCAGAAGAGACTGTAAGTACTGTGGATCCAGGCCGTTCATTGCCTTAAAAGTCAAGAGTATTATCTTGTATGCTATGGTAACAAACCTTGTTGCATTGGGTGAAACTTGTGTTGCCAGTTATGTGACCACGTGATATGGCATGTCACTTACCACGTGACTTAGAAGAACAACACTATTGTCACAGTCATAACGAGAGTAAATACATTTATGTCTGAAGCTAATTCGATAATAAAAGCTGAAAAATATATCAGCATTTTTAGAAATAGGGGTGTAACCACAAAAAGAGTAAATTCAGTTTGTTTGGTGCTTGTTCTTGAAAAAGGATAGTCTTTTTTATTATGGTCATTTGAAAATAGGATACTCTTAAATATGGTCATTTGAAAAAAGGATACTCTTAAATA